TGTGTGTGTGAGAGAGAGAGAGAGAGAGAGAGAGAGAGAGAGAGAGAGAGAGAGAGAGAGAGAGAGAGAGAGAGAGAGAGAGAGAGAGAGATGCCCGGTGAACCGCAGGCACAAAGGGAGAAAAAGATGAGAAACGAGGGGCTGTGACAGACAATTGCGTCGGAGTTTCACCCACTCGTCAATAGGCTGAAATCTCTACAGTCTGCAGAGGCCCCTAACTGACGTTGCTTGTACGTATATATCGTCAAACAGAACTGCCCGTAAACCGTAGGCAGAAAGGGAGAAGAGGACAACAAACGAGGGGCTGTGAGAGACTATATATTGTCACAGCCCCTCGTTTGTTGTCCTCTTCTCCCCCTCCCTCTCTGCCCCTACGGTTTACCGGACAGCTCTATTTGACGACATATATGAATAAAAGAACATGTATATCGTTTTTTTCTTTTCTTTCTTTTTTTTTTTTTGCGCTTTTGCGCTCTCATATTCATGTGATGAATTATATCGTCAAACAGAGCTTCCTACGGTAAACCGTAGGGGCAGAGAGGGAGGGGGAGAAGAGGACAAGAAACGAGGGGCTGTGACAAACTGTTTCGTCGGAGTTTCACCTACCCACTCATCAGGAGGCTATATGCTGATGATCACTTGCAGTGTATTTAATCAGTTATGGGATTCTGCAGACTGTTGAGGGTTCAGGCTCCTCCTGATGAGTCGGTAGGTGAAACTCCGACGGAACAGTTTGTCACAGCCCCTCATTTGTTGTCCTCTTCTCCCTGCCCTCCCTCTCTGCCTACGGTTTACCGGGCAGCTCTGTTCGACGATATATATATAAAATAATTATAATATTGTACTATATATATGTTAACTTTGTGACAATATATATCCCGACGATATATAATGTATATAAAATAATTGTAATATTGTACTATATATATGTTAACTTTGTGACAATATATATCCATCGCGATCATCGTCTTCGTCGCCACAACAATGGATATGTGGATGCATATCAATCACGCCGGTCATCGGGAGGTGCGGCACTGCTGGCTTCCCCCGAACACAACGCACCCTAATCATGAATGTGTATATGAGTGTATGCAAGCTGTATATTCGGCGAAATGGTCTTGTCGAGGGTGCGTTGTAGTCGGGGACAGAAGACGGGTAGACGAGTCGTTATCAGCGTCCATCATCGAGTCTGTCATCAGTGTGCGGCATCATCGATGCAATCATCTATGAGTTTTATTACCTATGAATCTATGATAATTAGTGTACTAATTATTAACGTCCGCGTCATCACCGAGATCACATGGGATGATTGATTGATTGATTGATCGATTCCTTGACATCCACGTGATCATGCCGTCCGTCATTGTTCCAATCCCCATTCTAATCATCATCCCTATCCCAATCAATCCCAATCATTATACCAATCATTATCCCAATGATCATCCCAGTCATCACGTGCTCGATCGTCCACGTGATCATCATTTTGGACCATCATTGGTGCCACGTCAGCATCCGTACGAGTAACCCCATGCGATTGGGATTATTCTCGGAGATCAAGAAAGAAATGGTGATTATTGAAGTAGAAAAGAGAAAACAATAAAAAGTCGTTTTTAATCCTTGTTGTGGGGGCGGGGGGACTTCTTTTACGCTTATCTCGTCGTCAGAAGTATAATAACGATAGCGGACGTCAGCCCATAGATCATCATGATGGCCCCTCCTTGTCGGATATATTGAGTGTGAGTTTGTATCAAAATAATTATCTAATTAATGGGTGGCTGATCCGCCAGCTTGTGTAATAATCGAGGGTCGACGGTATTTTTAGGTAAAATAAAATAAAATTTTCGACATGTGATGCACTGTATTTTTTAGTGTTAGGAGAGTTGCCTAGAATGGAATAAGGAATGAAAGAACTCGTGATGAGCTGTGCACGGGGGAAAAGAACAAGGGCATATCACAAAAGACGGAGTTTTTTCGGATGAACCTGGGCGTGACTACGGTCATATGCATTCAGGAAAGCCGTGGTGTGGTGCGAGTATATGCCCCACCATTCTTCTCTGTCGCGGTATAACGTCCCATTCAGGCATAATTTTTTTTTTTTTCTCCTCTTTTTTTTTCCCTTACACGTAGGTCATGAAAGACAAGGAAAAAAAAACGCACTTGAATAATTAAAAAAAAAGGAAACTGCACGTGATTGAGAGGCAGCGCGGGAGTCGGGATATCAAATGGGGTCGGGATATCTGATGGTGTTCCGACTCCCGTCAGAGAGTTAGGGCATACTCACACTAGAACTTTGTCAACAGACTTCTGCACGTGATTGAGGTCAGATGCATCCAGGTCCGGCCGTAATTGCGGTCAGATACATTTAGGAAAGTGCTTATGTGTGAGTACGGCGCTAGGTGAGGAGGGACGCAGGTTTAGAACATGCACCGGGTCCCTACGAAAAGGACCGATGCTTAAAACAAACGTTCTCCGTCACCATCCCTCCTCTACTCCCATCTTCCCCCCTCCCCTTGGTACAGATTTCCCGTCATTTTCCATCCCCCTCCTGATGGAAAATGACGGGAAAGGTGTAGCCCCCCCAACTTGCCATAATGTTGACATGACGGAGATGGACGTGGGAAGGTGGGAGTAGAGGAGGGATGTGATGGAGATGAAGAGGGAGGAGTAGGAGAGGTGGGAGGGGGGGAGACGGAAGAGGAAGAGACGAGCAAGTGGATCAGGAAAGGTGTGAGGAGGAGGAAGGTGTGTCGCGTGGAAGCGTCTTGTGTGAGCGGCAACGGCAAACAGAAGTGACGGTAGGTGGGAGTAGAGGAGGAGGGATGGGATGGAGATGAAGAGGGAGGAGGAGGAGGAGAGGTGGGAGGGGGAGGAGGTAGAGGAAGAGACGAGCAAGGGGAGCAGGAAAGGTGTCAGGAGGAGGAGGAAGGTGTGTCGCGTGGAAACGTCTTGCCTGGGCGGCAATGGCAAGCAGAAGTGATGGTAGGTGGGAGTACATCTCCATCACATCCCTCCTCCTCTACTCCCACAGAGAAGAGGGACGTCAACACAGCCCTTTCAGTATTTGGCGCCAAGTTGGATGTGGGGCAGGCAGAAAAGCTGCCTGCCCGGTAGAGGGGCACATGGTGAAGTAGAGCCTCGGCCTCTCCAGTGCGTGGCCAAGGGCATGAGGCAAAATTGCCCATGGCCGGTACAGGGGCAAAAGTAGAAGCTCGGGGCATTTCGTCGTACCCCTGTGTTTTAGGGGTATCTGACGAAATACCCCTACAGTTCTAGGGGCATCTCAACAATTTTCCCTTAGAAAAAGCACTCCCAAGAAAACAAACATCAAATTTCGTGTTACTTCATGGTGAATCTAGTCTGGAAAATCTCCTCTTTTCCTACATGCATATCCTCCTTTTTTTTATTTTTACAATTAGTTATGAACGCCCCCTAGGTACATATTCCTTACCTTGGTATGTGCACAACTTCGGGAACTGGCGGGAAAAGTGAGGAGACATTTTGTTTCTAAATTCTCTCTTGATGCCAAAATTCTCTCTCATGTATACGCGGCCATGCTGTGCCTCTAGTGCCAGCAGCGTGTCTGGAGAGTATGTTTTGGCTGTGACAGAGCTTTCTTTGTTTCGTGGGTGTTTTGCTGGCTTGTGATGGGGTGTGAACCGACAGTCTGTAGAGTTTTCCATCCGGTGTGGGTGAGTGATAGTCTCCTTTGATTTTCGTCACGGGTACCTTGAGGGCAGTGGTTGGTGGTCCCCACCACCCCAGAGGGGTATCCGTTGTCCGGCAGGCGTTGATGCTTAACCACAACCGGGGTTAAGGTGGATTATCACTTACAGTGTAATCAGTTAGGGGATTCTGCAGACTGTTAAGGGTTCAGCCTCTTGATGAGTCGGTGAAACTCCGACGAAACAGTTTGTTACAGCCCCTCGTTTCTTGTCCTCTTCTCCCTCTCTGCCTTACGGTTTACCGGGCAGCTCTGTTTGACGATATATTAGGACAGACTGGTCCCAAGTTAGCACTATTTTCTGTATCTCGGCTTTTTATGTTCCATCACTTTCCCCCCCCCCCCAACCCTGTTGGGGGATGACGAGCTGCACCATGCTTTGCTGCAGTGCAAGGCAAAGGCAATGCGAAAGGGTTGGGCAGGCAAGCCTACCCTTCTGACCCCTTCGTCGGCGCAAAAGAATAATTTAATATCATGCGGCCCGATGGACCACGGATCGGATATTAAACTGATCAGAACAGATACTACACTTGATCTTACTTAGCCAAAATGACGAGAAAGGTATTATCTCGGCTTTTACAAGTCAGCCAATGGGTCTCCTCCGTTATATGCGAGCACCAGGCCCGGTTGCACCGAACTGGCCGTATTTGCACCCAAGTACTGCATGGAATATTGTTGAGTGTGCATGCCCTTCCTAGAGCAGCGATCCTACATTCTGTTTGTGGTTGTGGTTGTGTGCGTGTGTGTGTGTCTGTGCTCGTGTGTGCATGAGTGTGTGTANATGCCCTTCCTAGAGCAGCGATCCTACATTCTGTTTGTGGTTGTGGTTGTGTGCGTGTGTGTGTGTCTGTGCTCGTGTGTGCATGAGTGTGTGTATTTTTTGCACCCAAGTACTGCATGGAATATTGTTGAGTGTGGATGCCCTTCCTAGAGCAGCGATCCTACATTCTGTTTGTGGTTGTGGTTGTGTGCGTGTGTGTGTGTCTGTGCTCGTGTGTGCATGAGTGTGTGTA